TTAAAGTCGTAATATTACGACTTTAAATTCGTAATATTATGACTTTAAACTCGTAATATTATGACTTTATTCTCATAATATTATGATTTTATTCCCGTAATTTAAAAAAAAATCTCGTGTGGCCCTAATACTCCGTCATATCAATAGAATTTGACAGTTCAAATGTATCATTCTTATGTATGAGGATTGCCACACTCCTGCCCTTGCTGGGAATTTAGAGTGAAATAAATGTCCCAACAGGGTTTAGTGTTTTAGCAACTGAGAAAAACTGTATGCTCCTTGTCCTTTTCCTCCTCTCAGTCTAAAGCTAAAGCTCTGATTGCTAAATGTAAATCTATGGGACAGGTGTATGCCCATGTGAGGAGTCGGTGTGCACAGTAGGACAACTTTAGAGTTTTGAATGACAGTGTATTCATTGTGACAACAAGAGATTTTTTCCATGAAATATGTGCCAGAATGCAGAGAATTGTGTGTAGTGTTTTGAAAAAGTGTGTTTTAGAACTGAAATYTGAGTGTAAAGCAGGAACTGTGCTTGTAGTTTAGCAGAACTAGTTRAGAAGGTTGGTGCTTACGTTACATATTGTGGTCGTTTTGTCTCAAGTACCAGAAAATGTGTGGAAACGATTGAGAAAAACGGCGAGTCTTTTATGTGGCGCTGTCACTCAGTAATGTGGTTGTTGTGTTCTCGTGTTATTTACAAATGTTGAGAATCACTGATCATCAGACTTTTTCAGCTGGCAAAATGGTATGGTCCTGGCTGTCACATCAGACTCGTTGCATCAGGTCAGAACTCCTCTTGTCACCTGAACTACACTGCATTTAACAGAGTTTCACAGGTTTTAAAAGTGTTTTTAGAAAGACAAATCAAGTTTTTAAATGCCATGAAATGAAATAAACTTTTATAATAATAATAATAATTATAATAATAATAATAATTATTATTATTATTATTATTATACAGTAGATGTTCAGCCTTTTACTGACTGACGACGTGTGTATTAAAATGATTTATACAGTATGTTTAATTCAAATTGTGTATATTTTTGCAGTGAGTTCAATCAGCCGTGTACTTCGAGGTCATTTTGGAAAAAAAGATGAAGACGAGGAATGTGAGAAAAAGGACGAAGATGAAAAAAAGAGAAGCAAACACAGCATCGATGGAATTCTCAGAGACAAAGGTAAGAATGACGAAACAAACCTGTTTTCTATTTTCTTTGTGTCTAGTTCACACACACACACACACACACACACACACACACAACATTGTGAATTTGTTTAAGGGACATTGAGAGAAGGTTAGCTTTTTATTAAACACTACTTGA